ATTCTCCTCTCGGGATCTTGGGCATGCACGCATACGTGCCCAGCGTGAGTTTAAGCCACCAGGTCCGGGACTTGAACCGCAGTCGACTACATGGGAGTCCAGCGACATAGCTATTACACCAACTGCTGGTCCCACCCTGGTTCATTTTAAACAGAGACAAAAAGAAAACAGGGAGCACTGCTAACCCTATGTGCGCTGGTGACTTAAGCTTCCAATTCGGAGCATGCTACTCCAGCTCAGCGAGTGCCAAGAAACCTTGAACGCAAGTTGATCTATGACAGAGGTTGCAGAAGAGCCAGTCGGGGTCAGCAAACACGCCGTGAGCACCTGCCGCATGCCGGACAGGGCTGGGTGCTCCAGGTGCAAAGGTGAGTGAGGCGAGGGGTCCCTGCAGCCGAGGAATGTGCCACCTCGTGCTAGAGACGAACAGTTCGGCTCCTTCTTCTCCGCCAGGGGCAGGCGAACTCTGGCCCCTGGTCACGTGCGCATGCTGCCTGTCGTGTGCAGCCACTGGACACGGCCAAGCTCATCAATTAACGTCCTAGCCGTGAGTGTGTCCAGGCTACAGTGGCGGGGCACAAGGTCTCTTGGCTACAAAGCCTGCGTTTACAAAAAAAAGTGTATCGAATCCTAGTTACCATCACACACACTCTCTACACTACCATCACACACACATGCACATATATATATGTGCACTCGTGTTTTTATTACCCATTTTTCAAATAAATCAGGTTTTTTGCCCTCCCTATAGGGTATGTGTGCTCACCAGAGAGAGGGAAAGTGAGAAAAGTGAGAGAGCACCCCCTAGGGGGCATGGCCATGCTGCAACCCCTCTCTTGCGCTTGTCTCTCAAGGCAAGCACACACACACACACACACACACACACACACACACACAGAGCCAGTGTGTTTTTCAAGCCACTGGGTCCGAGACTTGAACCATGCAGCTCACCATGTGGGATGCAGCTGCCTTAATCTCTGAACTACCTGCTGGCCCTAAATGAGGTTGTTCATATATCGAGCTAAAGAATAGGACAAAAGACTATCCTCCCTTCCCTGGGCTGGAAGAATCTATGTTATCTTCAAGTCAACCTATCCCTACATCTACTGAGTATTTTTTTAAAAAAGATTTTTTGCTATAGGGTGTGTATGTTTGCAAGAGATACAAAGACAGAGAGAAAGAAAGTGAGAAATTACCCCCAAGAGGAGATGGCCACACTGCAATCCCTTCTCTTCCATTCTCCTCTTGGGATTTTGGGTATGCATGCACACATGCCCAGAGTGAGTTTCAAGCCACCAGGTCCGGGACTCAAACCATGGTTGACCATGTGGGAGTTCAGTGCTTTAACCACTACAGCATCTGCTGGCCCTGAAGGGTTTTTTTTGTTTGTTTTGATTTTTTTTTAAGAGAGAGATTTTTGCCATAGGGGGATTGCACTCACTGGAGAGAAAAAAAGCAAAAAATCACCCCTTCCCCCGGGGGAATGGCCACATTGCAATCCCTTCTCCTCCATTCTCCACTTGGGACTTTGGCCACGCACGCACACATGCCCAGTGTGAGTTTCAAGCCACCAACCAAGTCTAGGACTTGAACTATGGTTGACCACGTGGGAGTCCAGTGCCTTAGCCACTACACTATCTGCTGGTCCTGAATAATTTTTAAGAGTCAAGGTGCATCTGAAAGCCAGCCATCCCCTCTGCTCTTTCTCCTGTTCAGAAAGCAGCGAAAGCATCTTCATCTACCCACTAGAGGGTACCCCAGCACTGCCTGTGAAAGACGAAGGCCTTACAGCCGATCTGGTTGAACGGAGACAGATCAGAGTTTACCATCTGTCTGGGTGAGTTCCTACACTTAAAACACACTGCACAGAGGTGGCAGGATGTGGAAGAATAAACTTGACTTTCACCCATTAGGACCTGACGTTGCCTGGAAACAGAGCTGACAAGAAATGGAGTCAGCTGGCTGAGATAAGGATGAATGACTACAAAGACTTGGAGGGTCAAACGCACTCCGCCTGCCTCCTGCTGCCCCTGCAGAGTTTTGGGTTTTTTTGAGAGTTTTTTTTTTTTTTTCTTCCGCTATAGGGTGCGTGTGCTCGCCAGACAGACAGAGACACAGAGACAGAAAGCGAGAAATCACCCCCCAGAGGGGATGGTCACGCCGCAACCCCTTCTCCTCCATTCTTCTCTCGGGATCTTGGGCACACATGCACACGTGCCCAGCGTGAGTTTTAAGCTACCGGGTTCGGGACGTGAACCGCAGTCGACTACATGGGAGTCCAGCGACATAGCCATTACGCTAACTGCTGCTTCCCTCCCTGCAGAGTTCTTACCGGCGTGTGTGTAACGCTCTTGGGTGAGCCAAACAACAGCTCCAGGCCTTGCCTGGCTCTCTAGCATGGAGTCTGACTCCCCAGGCTTCTGTTCCCCAGTCTGGGAAGTGGGAGGTGACAGGGTTAGAAAGGCAGTTCTTGGGGCTGGCGGGTGGCATGGGGGTTAAGGTGCTGGACACTCCCACACAGCTGACCACGATTCAAGTCCCGGACCTAGTGGCTTGCTTTGTCTCTCTCTCTCTGTCTCTCTCTGGTCAAATTAAAATAAATGAATGAATAAATAAAATGAAATACACAACTCTTTAAAAAGAAAGAAAGAGAGAAAGAGAGAAAGAGAGAAAGAGAGAAAGAGAGAAAGAGAGAAAGAGAGAAAGAGAGAAAGAGAGAAAG